AGAGGAGGTTTAGTGATAGAACTTAGCTTGCAATTAGCAAATCCAATCTTGTAGCCGGCGAGTGACCAAGAGATGAAAGGGAGATGATGGAGAGTGGGAAGAGAAAGAAGGGGGGGGGGCAGATTGAAGGAAGGGGCACAAACATCAAACATGATTTGATGTGGACGGGCGTTTCTTTACCTCTTTTATTCCTTTATTTTGCAGACTACATCAATGTAGACTATTAGCATTTAAAAAGTAAAAGGTGTGTCCAATAGATCCACCAATTAACACGAACATGGATCTAATGACTTCAGCATATAAAATTAGAGTACAGGCACATATTGGAGGAAAGGACTCCCGTCTCCTTGCTGTGCATTTTTCCTGCAACTCCTGACCAGAATTCAATTTGACTCTGGGTAATTTTCCTCCGTTTGCATTCAATATGTTTTCATCACTCTGACTGCTTACTCTGAGTATTTTCTGAGCGCTTTCCCTCCCTCCTCCCTTCCTTTCCACCCTCCCCACCTCTGTCTGTCAAAGCAAAGGCCAGTCCCCAGATGGGAGTCTTTATCACAAAGAAAAGCACAAAAGAAACCAGCACTGTTTCAAGGCTGATAGGTAAATGGGATTTCCGCAGAGAGACCGAGACAAGACGTGGAATTATCAGCGCAGGGAGTGTGTGTGTGTGTTTTCGCGAGAGCACCCACTCAGCGAAAGGAGGGAAAGGGAAAGAAAGCAGCAAAGCGTGGAGAAGAGACAAAAAAAATTGGGGGGGGAATTGGACAGTCCCTCTCCTGAATGTGATTTCTCTGAACACGTATAGTGTCTCCTGTCTGCGTTCAGCTCGAGACACTTACACTTCTCACGGTCACATGCTCCATTCTCTGCGTGGTTGAACGGGGTTAGTTTGATAATGTCGGCGGAAGGAGGAAGGATTTTTATCCTTGATGTAGCTCAGTGGCTGGAGCCATGGCACTAACATTGTTGATCACATTGCATAGGGGGAGATTTGCATAAAGGTGAGCTTTCCTTAAATTTCAACCTGTGGTGCCACTGTTCCTTTTTTGTCTCTCGGCGAGCGGCGCCAGGCTGCAACGCCAGGTCAGCCTGCCTCTGTCTGAGTGTGTTTACAGCGTGTTAGTCTCGTTTCTGCTGCTAATTTTGTTGCTGCTGCGATGGAGTAACCTTTTGTATCAGTGGTCAGATCGCACCAAAGCAATCCTTCGGTCAGTCTCAGACAGCCAAGGTGCTTGTATTCAGTCCAGGTCAGGACAGAGGGGTTGTCAGTTTGGATGTAACCCTTCTCACTGTGTTGTCCACCAATCAGTAGTTATGTTGCAGAAAGTCTTTGAGGCAATTCAAGGGCAACTTAGGGGTTTTAATTTGTTTTTTTTTGGTTTGTATTTTGTGTGTTTTTCAGTTCCATGTAGCCGATCTCAGAGGTCAGCTGTGAAGTGCACTGCGAAGGGAAAAGCTCTCTTGGCTTCTTTATTCTATTTTTTGTTTTTTGTTTTGTTTTGTTTTTTCAATTGTCTATCTTTTATTCATATAAACAATGTTGTGGAGATTGAAACTGCTTTTCTTCCTAAGACAGGCCATCCTTTCTATCAGAGAGTGTTTTTTTCTTTCTTTTAGCAGACAAGGACCCAGGTGGAGTGGTTTGACTTCTAAAGCCTGGGTAATGATGCCGCTCTGAAAGGGACGTGCTCAAATGAATTCAGGTCAGGGTGTTATCGCCGGGCCTGTGCTAAATTGTTTCTATGAAATCGGTTTTGCTCTATAAGAGCCAGCGGGACAAGCCGGCGGAGCGAGACAATTCATTTCCACAACATAAAAATTGTCTGTTGATTCGGTCCACTTCAGTCCTCAGCTACACTTCAGATGTTTGAAAGAAAACCTGCAGCGCTTAATGACGACCTAACACAGATCCCACTCTGCCTGATGGACACTCGGGAGTTCAGCCAGGTGCGACTCTCTCAGGACCTCTGTGTCTCGGAAGGAGGGGTCGTGTGGGGCCGGATGCTTTTTTGCTAAGCTAAGCTAATCAGCTGCTGGCTCAAACTCTCAGCAAGAAGTCACATAAGTCAATTTGATGTCTTGCTATTCCCGTTCCCCAATATTAAGTACTAAGTATTACAATTAATCGATTCGCTGGGCAACAGAAAATTAATGGGCAACTATTTTGATAGTGAATTAATCATTTTGAGACATTTTTTTAAAGAAAAAATTCCCTCTCGTGGTTTGGATTGTCTGCTTTTTGTCTGTTTTATATCTTTGTGTTTTACTCTGCTGGGTGGACAAAAAAAGACGTGATGATGTCACCATGGACGGAAATAATTCACGGGTTAATTGATAGATAAAACAATCATTAATTGCAGCCCCATTCCCAACAGCAGCAGCTCCTCCTGTAGATGTTCTGTGACTCACTCTGACCAACAAACATACAACACAACTCGGCTACATGGATGCATCACAAATATGTCACACACATATGGGGGAAGCTCACTGCTGCTGCGTGGTAGCGTCGTGCAGCGTATGTGTGGGATGCAGATCATCAAAGACGTGGCAACAGAACTCAGACACACTGACACATGTATACATATGCACACTTACACATTCCCACACACTTTATTTGGCGGCATGATTAATCACAGCATCTTTGGGAGTTTTAGAGGAGGTTCAGAAAAACCATTTCAGCTTCAAAAAGATTTCTTTATTCTCCCGGTGGTTCGTTCGTCATCATTATTACAGGATTAATTCTCGTCTATCACTTCTTTACTATCGCCGTCTTAGCGTCTTCCTCCCACTTCCTCGTGTCTCTGAGGTGACAAAGAAGTCACAACCCTCTTGTGGATACTGAAACAGATCCAACGTTTCCACAATCAGTGTCGCTAACTGAGTCATCAGGTGATCACATCAAACATTTTCCCTGGCTCACACACACACACACACACACACACACACACACACACACACACACCATTACTGCTTCACGTTGTTTTCGTTTGCAGCGTCTGAATAATTGTAGACGAGTTGTATAATTCCTCGTAGGACGCATAAAAAATACTAAAGTGTCTATCAGCACTGAAGAACTACACTTACACACACACACACCTACACACACACACACACCTACACACCTGTACACACAGTCATACAGAGTAATGAGTAACCGCTTTGGCCAAGAGGCATAAAGGGCATTTGTGGCTCATCTAGAAACAACACCAAGGACGCACATTTACACAAACACACATTTATGACTAGACACGTGTTGAGCCTGGCCAGTTACTCGGTCACCTAGAGCCGAGGCAAGGTTATGTGAAATGCTATTATTCCTGGCCACACAGAAGTATATGCAAACAGATTCATGTATGGTCCATAGTGATGTAGCTGCAGGCCGGCCGCCAGCGCTGCCTCAGGTTTGGATTGTGAATGAATTTAGCTCAGACACATAGGGGCCTAAATCATCAATTTCCATCTATGGCAGATTAATTATTTAATGGTCCAGCATGTGCAACCGTTGTCCTCCCGTAGCTCAGAACATTAATATAAATTTAGGTCACATTCGTATTCTGGTGCTGTTTGATTATGCAGAGTGGCGGACGTGATGATTCAGGGCAATTTCACGGAAAGTGAAGCTGAAGTAGTATCAGCGGTGGAGAGAGGAAAGAAAAGAGTTTTTCGGAGGGATCTTCCTTGTCTTTGTTGTGCAGATTTCTGGGACAGACCGATGTCTTTCTCATGCACATGCTGCAATTTATCCTCTTTTGTTGCCAGTTTTCATTATTTTTTTTGGCTGGGTGTCTCTCTGGAGACGAGGCAGCGAGCAGCCAGACTCCCCTCCATGGAAACACTTGCAGTTGGAAAATAGAGCAGCTCATTTTCTCTGCCAAAAGCCTGCAGTAAACTCATTTTAAAGATCCCCTTACCTATACAGTTGACAATGCAAGCACACACATATACTTTACACATGTGCAATCACACACACTGTGTAGGGTATGATTGTCACCTTATCCTAACATAACTCTTCATCCAGATCTTTTCCCTCAATTCAAATCCTCACATTATGTTGTTGTTCAAGTGGAAGCCGACCAAAACCGACACCAACTTGTCAGAGAGTCAAATTGTTTCTCCCACGAAACAGGGGAAACAAATTCACGGACTCAAATTTTACCTTCACACGCAGCAAAGCGACTCATTCTGCAGCCGTCATTCCAAGTGGCGCTCGTCTGGCGTGGCCATTTTAAGTGTGTAGTCATTTCAACTGTGGTTGACACAGCATCAGTGCCGCAGGGCCGAGCCGTAGCCGCACCGTTCTATTAACCATGTCGTTGGTAATTGAAAATAAATTGAAAATTGTGGCTGCCTTAATGAAAGTTCCCCGGGATTTCAAAATATTCTACATGTGCGAGGCTCCAGAGTATGTTTTCTTTTCCTTTTCTTTCCTTTTTTCTTTCTTTCTTTTTCTTTCTACCATTAAAGCTTCAGCTCTATTGAATGTATGTATATTCTAAGCAGATGCCACCAATAATGATGACATTATGCTAATGCTAAGTGAGTTAGAGCTAAATGTAAATCCCTCTGTCAAGTGCCAAGAAGTTGAGCAGCAGGTTCTTGTTTAAAAATGCACCAGAGGCTGAAGAGGGAAGTTATTTACAGAAGTCTTCTGCTGGAGTAAACATTGAGTCACTGGTATTGATCTCTAACCCTGTCAACTCCTTGTAGATATATTTCGGTCATTTTCTGTTATGAGCTATTAATAATTGAGTGTGTTGCACCTTTCTTTGGGCTACATGAGGGACGCAGGGTCAGACGTGGTGTGTATTACACGCCACCTTAAACAGCATGTTGCCTATTTATGGTAACATCCCAGTTTTAGAGCAGCGACGTAAACGGAGACAAACCACCAAAAAAACAAAAACAAATCCAGGCTTCTCCCTCCAGGATTTATATAATTTCTTCATTGTACCAAATTTAGCACTCACACCTCTCTCTCTCTCTCTCTCTCTCCACCACAGGGGTGAAGGCGGTCTTCTCTGGCCACTACCACCGAAATGCCGGCGGTTGCCACGACGGCCTGGACATGGTGGTGAGCTCGGCCATCGGCTGCCAGCTGGGCGGCGACACCCACGGCGTCAGGGTGGTGGTGGTGACTGCCGACAGTATCGTCCATCGCTACCACAGCCTGGAGCAGCTGAGAGCGGGAGGCGTGGACCAGGACCTCAGGAAGCTCCTGCAGGCCTGAGGGCTGGTGACGGGAGCAAAGACTGTTCGGAGGAGTTTGGCTGGGTTTCTGGTTTCTGGTTTCTGGTTTCTGGTTTTTGGTTTTTTGGTTTTTTGGATTTCACAGTTTGGAGCCCCTGTTCTTAGAGGCTTCTGGAGTTTGGTGTGTTGATGAGATATTAATAATGTTGAATTTGACCAATAACCCCAGAAAATCTGTGTATTCAATAAAGTAAAAACATTAACTTAAAGATTCATATAGGGACATGTGCTGTATATTTGCCCTGAAATAAGAAATCAGAGAAAGGCAGTGATTTTAAACCCATAAAAACAAGACAACACGCCATCTAAACATTATATATTATAGAGTGTTATGATGAAATTAAACTGGGTTTTATGTTCTCTGTGCTGAATGTTTTCCCAAGGATTATCTCTCAGCAGAATGGATGTTATTATCTCTGCTCCCGCTGCCCCGACGGGGCCACACAAAGATCAGTGAATGTGTTCTGAAGCTGGTGGTTCCTCTGTGGAGTAGCGCTACCTCTCCGCGCAGTCCTCCTATATCTGAAGTAGCATTACCTCCTCTGACTCCCGCTCCGTCTGTCTGTGCAGCGTGAAATGTTCACGGTTCAAGACGGTGTAGTCAGATGTTGCCAGAGTAACTTAAACTGTATCCAAACTGTTAGATCACTCGAGGAAGAGTCGTCCCTGAGATGTTGACATTTCGATCAGAGCAGCTTCCAGAGGTGTGGACAATGAAAAGATGGATTTCAGCTCTTCATCTTGGTGTTGAAGGTTGGAGTTTTACTTTTAATGATGCTAAAACATCCAGCTGCGATAGCTCTCTCCACACTGTACGTCTGCTGTAGCCGCAGCGTGACGCCTGGTCGGCCATCCTATGCAAACTAATCACATCACTATATTGTGTATGTGTTTTGTTTTTGTTGTTGTTGTTTGTTTAACTCGGTGTGTTGTTTGACTCACCTGGAAGATGCAGCGCTGACTCCTGACCTCTGATCAGCTCACACACTGCCCGTCCAGGAAAAAGATAGAAACTGAGACTAAAACTGAGATTTTTATTTTACAGTTCAGCCTGTTGTTGTTGTTGTTGTTGTTGTAGAGAATCCATGTTGATATGAGAGATTATTTTTAATCCATTTAGATTATAACAAAAATGGAAATCTTGTTTTTTAAAGAAGTCCTGGTTGATTAAAAAAATAAAGTCACAATATTTATAGTAAAAAGGAAAATAAATGCTCCCAATGATTGTTGTCTTATTTTGTAGACGCATTTGTGATGTCACTGTCACGACATACACACTGCCTTCCCTGGGAGTGCTTCACAATAAAAGCCACCCGTGTTTTGCGTTTTAAAGGAGCTGTTTGTAAGTTGTGCTGCTGCTACGTAGCGAACGTTAGCATCAAGAAGATCACCAAGAGTCGTCTCCAGTGGTGGAAAAACACAAATTTTATCTCTCGTCTTTATCACGTCTCTTGTTCTACTGAAGTTCGCACGCCAACCAGCAGCTCACTGTAGCCTCCGGTTTCCCCCTGAAGACGTAGCGCTGCTCTGAGGTCGTATTATAACCTCTTGTCTTGCAAACGCAACAATGGCTGAAGCTCTTGTCGAGCGATAATCCCCGCCACCCGCTCCTGGCAAGAAACCACATTCAGCAGCAGAGGAAACTTTCAGAAAGCCCCTTTAACATGAAGCAGGTGGCAGCACCTAAAGAAAGCTCTGACCCCGCAACCCAGCGTGTGAACGATGAGGCTGATTTCCGTTGCATAAATTTGCAAACAAATTTGTTTCACATGCGACTGATGGCCGTTTAAAGCCAGCACGGGAACGGCAAACTCTGCCACTAACAAGGAGAACTAGTATATGAAGAGGTGATCACAGTATACAAACACGGAGAACGGCTATAGCAGGAGAAAAATGAGCCCGTCAATAGAATCACAAATGTCTATTTTCTGTAGCAGGAACGCTGCAGTATGCATTTGGTTTCTCCTGGTTACTTGTTTGTGAAAGTGCGACTGCGGGAGCCGACTGTGGTTTCCCCTCACTGTGCTGTTTTTGTGATGAAAATATTTCATCACCATGGTTTCAATCAAAATTTATGATGCAACACTTCACATTTAAATCACACCAGATCACCAAATCACATCAGCTAGAGATCCTTTGCAATGAACTGTACACACACACACACACACAGAGAAGTGCTCAGTAAATAAGATGGAAGTGTGATTTGTGTTGTTGAATGGCAAACTAAAGGACTGGTGTCAGGCTGATAGAACTGATAGTGATGTGTTGGTGATTAATGTTGGGAGGAACAGTATTTCCTGACTGCTTAGTCAGAGCTGAAGCAGCCTAACAGTGTTACAGCCTGCTGGCTACAGACTTATTCTGGAGCTCAGTCCTGAAATTGTCTTAAAAATGAACATTTCTGCAACAAAATTACTTTCTCTGTGAGCCCTAAATGACTCCACTCGATTACACTTTACACACACACACACACACACACACACAGACTCTCACAGTTGCCCTGACCGACTGGGAATGTAAGAGAGTTGTCATGGCAACCCTTTAGCAACACATCTGTGTGTCTGTGTGCGTCTCAAAGAGAGACTGCGAGTGTTGGAGAGAAAGTGTACGTACTCCCCGTCTGTGTGTGTGTGTGTGTGTGTGTGTGTGTGTGTGTGTGTGTGTGTGTGTGTGTGTGTGTGTGTGTGTGTGTGTGTGTGTGTCCAGCCGTGGTCTGGTGGGTACTGTAGGTGATTTTCCATCGGGCGACGCGATCACTGACCTCATTTCACACTGACGGATTCTGTCTCTTTTCCAAAAAGTCAGCATGTGATGGAGGGAGGAGGGGGCGTCTGAGAGGAATGGATAATGAGTGTGATGTGTGAAAGACGACTCAGTCCATCTCCTTCATTTCCTGTCTGAGAAGGAACCTTATGTCCTTATCTATTTTTATATCCTCATGGTAGCCGAGCCCAATCACATTGTTCTTTATCTTTATCTTTGTGTGTGTGTGTGTGTGTGTGTGTGTGTGTGTGTGTGTGTGTGTGTGTGTGAGTGTGAGAGAGTGTGTGAGAATTTGTTTTAGAGCACATTCGCTCTATGAATTTGGAGGATCATCACACACTTTGACTTGTTCCTGTGTTGAATTGTAATGAATGACTGAACGCCACGACTGTGACATAACTGGTTGTATTTTTATAATAAATGTTCTGTAAATTTTCTCTAATGGTTCCTGTGTGTTGCTGTGTTTATTAGTTCGTCTCGAGACTTCTGAGTCCTGGAGATGTAAGTTGCATCTTTTTTTCTCTGGTTTCTAAGCAGATTTATCGATGCTTGTTCACGAAGGTCAGAGGACATAATGATACTTGAGTCTAAAAATATGTGTGATTTCTCCACTGAATTATGACTTTGAGTATTTCTGACATAAATTGCTAGAAGCCGGCTAAAGTGAAGTCTGCTCAAGTGCCACCATAAGCTGTGAGGGCATCTCAGTTTGGAAACCTCTGGCATGAAGTATCTGTGTAGTATTTCTGTCAACATACAGCATGTGCTTTTAAAGGCTCTGGAAGTTACTAAATATATAAACAAATCAATAAACTTTCACCTGTTGCTGTATTCTCACAGTAAGCAACATTTTATAAATCCGTGTCCACACACACTCAGAAATCTTAAGTCTGTTAAAATTACACAAAGCGCAGAAAGCCAGTCTGAAGGTATTTAAACTGTATCTTCACCACAGGGAAGCTGTTATGTATCTTGTACGAACCGAGCAGTACTTTAGTTTCTACATAATACTAATACTTACATGTTGTACACTCATCTTTAGCACTTATGATACAGAGAAGATTCACATTACTCACATGGGACTTGAACCTTTGATGACATGAGTCAACAGAGGCGTTCAGCAGCAACAAGTTAATCTCGGTGTCAGAGTCTGAGCTCACTGCTGCTGTACAACACGCTGCCAAAAGCTCCTATTTGTTTTTTCATTATTTTACTCTCTGTGTTAAATGTTTAATTCACAATTTAGAAATAGCACATATTAATATGATTTGTGTCTGATGTTTCTTATTAAAAAAAAAAAAGCAGTTCTTTAACCAGACTTGAATTAGTCCAATTAAAGCAGCTAGAAGTTGTTTTATTTATGTTGTCAGGATCATTACAACCAGGCTTTTCACAATAAAGGCAGCTTTCTGAGGCTCCTTTGTAAAAACACATCTCAGTCCGTGTTTCTGTGATGTAGACTGATTAAATTTTAACAGGAGTGTGTCAGTTTGTTTTAGTGCTGACACAGTTTGGGTTTATCCTCTTCAGAAAGCACAAACACGTCCGGCTCCTCGGTCCCGCCGGCTAAATGGACGATGACGTGTATCCGTCATTTCAAAGTTTGTTCTCTTAAATCCTTCGTTCATCAAAAACACACACACACACACGCTCACACACACACACACAAAACTGGAGATGCATCATCGGCTTTGCATAACAAACAGTAAAAAAAAAAAAACATACAGTATCGCCACAGCTGCTGATAAGACTTGGCATTTCAACATGAAAATATCAACACGTTCATCTTCAACTGAATCCAATTCACGCCTGCTGCATATTGTATTCATATTTTCTCTGCTCTATCTGTGTTAAATTAGAGATTAGCTGACTCCAGCGCAGCCCAGGGGGAGTGAGCAGGTGGGGACTGCTTTGCTCGTGGACTCTGCAGTCGAACAAATGGCTGTTATTGGACACAACAGCGGAGACTGAATGTGAGTCTGACTGCTTACCGGACAACGCTTCATTGAAACACACACACACACACACACACACACACATTTAGAGCTGTTGTGCTCTGAAATTGAGGTGTAGCCCTGTACTTTTCTGCTGCGAAATTGCGATGATTTGTAAAAATCACCATCCCTGTCATTTCTTTGAAAGAACATGAAGGCTCATCTTTGAGATATTGCAACATGAAAATAAAAAAAATAAATAAAAAAAAAAGGATGGCAGCTTTCTGGACGGACTTGAGGTCAGCGAGGTGACCTTTGCTCTCTGCTTTGTTCCTGCAGGAGATTTGTTCTACTGTGACAGATGAAAGCTAGTTCCTGTTTATTGATCCAAAACGCTGTCGCGGTGTCCTCCGCTGCTCGCACGCCAAGTCCAGACGCACACGTGCACATACACAGACTATACACACATAAAAGACACACAAGTCTCTCCACAACACTTTCATCAGCTGCCTGGGTGTAAAATCCACAACACTGATGTTTCCCTCAGTGTTTTTTACTCATAGAAGAGCACACTAAAAGTACACGTGGGGGACTGGGGTCGTAGGTCAGCAGCTTTTGAACACACATGAGAGGTCTATGTACAGCTTGATAGCATGAAGGGGATGTTAACATTTCAGAAGTGAGCTGGGTGAATCGCCAGAGACACGAACGAGAGCTGAGTTTATGTTCGCCTGACTGTTGCGGCTGCTAATGGAGGTGGAAAGGCAACGGTGGTTCGCCAGGTATTCGTGGCTCCACACTGTGAGCTGGTATTTGGGGAAACTCGCGAGGAACCGGTTTCAAAAAATTGAAGACGGACGGTTCTATTCATCCGAGGTTCATCAGAGTTTTCAAACTCAAAGTAATGACAGCTGAGGCAGTTAAATTACATGCTCCATGAGTTAGGTCTCCCATTCCTATTGTTGGAATGGAGAAAGTAATTTCACAACACAAATCTACTGCAGTATAATGCCTGAGGACTTAAATCCACTTTTGTTTGGTTCACTCAAATTACTTCACGCCGGAGTCTGGAAGGACTCACAGAAAATGAGAGATTTATGCAGTAAACAATGACACCACTGAGAGCTTTATCAAAAATTATACCCAAACTGAGAATTGCTTTGTAAACGGATTTGTGTAGTTATGGCATAATTCTGTGGTGTGATTATCAGCTTAAGTAGAAAGCATTACAAGAATTGAATGTCTGGTCACGGTTGCTCTATTCCCAAAGAAGTTACTGTATGAACCAGTAACTCTGAGTTCAACCAGTTGACCCCAAAACATTCCTGCACAAGTGTAAAACACCTGTCCACGTTTCATTGTGTCTCACAACTGAATCACAAGAACCTTAGCTTCCTAACGATATGATGACGCATAACATTTCATCACATTTCTTGTAACGCCGGCTATGTAGCAACAACTAAACTAAACTTATAGCTGAACTCCCAGCTAATCCAAAAATGGGCAAAGAGATGGGGAGCTGAGACTTCAGTGCATACCCCCCCCCTCCACACCTGTCTCTCAAAGTGGCACAAACTTTAAGCCTTAATAATAAAACTTAAACAGAAGAGTCAAATAAACATTCACCATTTTAACACGGGAGTCAAAGGGAAGTGACTCACTTTAGGAGCCAGTCTTCAAAGAGCTGCAGTTTTTGGTGCTTCCATGTCGGCTTGTACAAAGACACGCACGTGCCATCACCACTTTATAACTAACATAACTAACACTTAAAGTTTCTGGGCTGTTTGCAGCTGGGCACGTGGAGTAGCTGCAGTTACTTCCACAGTTTTTCCAATGAAACCCCCCCCCCCTCCACATCACACATATTTGATTTGATCCATTGTTGATATGAAAACGTTGATTACAGCAGCGTTGAAGAGAAATGGAAATTTCAACGTCGACAATTTCATGACAACTGTGAAAACTCTGTCTGCTGGTGTGATACAATCGAAAACTTCTAATTACCCTCGATATACAGTGAATATCCTCATGCTACAAGTGTAACATTTAGATAGAAGTACAAGAACACACACACACACACACACACACTCGGCAA